GAGGAGCTTTTGGGGATGATGGGGAGCTGCTCCATGTTCTGAACTCCTCCACATAGTGGAGTGGCCAAGAGTATGGCCCCCAAAGGGTAACAGAAGCCAGGATTCAGGTATCAGCACAGCCACTCACCAGCTGTGAGACTTTAGCCTCATCTCGGAGTGCTGGCTTTCTCAGTAAAACATATGTAATGGCACTTACCTCAAAAACACTGCTGTCCATTCAACAAATAGGAGCAAATACCCCACCCCGGTGCTGAACTGTGGGCTGGGCCCCAGGAAGAAAGCAGGTCTAGGTGACTAGGGGATTCCCCATGCATTCTCATTAAGGAAATTAGCATGCAGTAGGCACATAATAAATAATCCTCTGATTTTCACTGTCTTGAGTTAGTAATTCCTCTTTATATGTCCACCTGCCCCCATCGCCCTGGCTTCTATTCCCAGCCCAAGCAGAACCTCATGTAAGCTGTCACAGATACATCATGTCCCCAGATTTTTATCCCCACTTCTGTACTCTCCCTGGAGATCTAATTCCACACATTCATTTAGCGATTCAACAAACATTTATTGATTGAGCCCTTATTATGTGCCAAGCAGTGTTCTAGGCACTAAAAATATAGGAGTGAACAAAGCCAACCAAAATTCTGCACTCAAGAATCTTACATACATGTCTATAAGACCCAGCGCTTTGTGACACCCATTCCTTCTCCCTCCCCTGGTCCCTCGTCCCAGACATTACACAGGTACCTCAAACTCAACCCAAACCCTTGCAAAACAACCTGGCAATTCCTCAAAGAGTTAAATACGGAATTACCACTTGACCCAGCAATTCCACTCCTAGTTATATACCCAACAGAACTGAAAATATGCCCTCACAAAAGCTTGTATACAAGTGTTCACAGCAACATTATACATAAGAAGCAAAAGTGGAAACAACCCAAATGACTATCAACCATGAATGGATAAATCAAATGTGACATATCCATACAGTGAAATAGTAGTATTTAGCCATAAAAAGGAATGAACTGCTGATCCATGTTATAACCAACATAGATGAACCTTACAAATATTATGCTAAGTGAAAGAAGCCAGGCACAAAAGGCCGCATATGATTTTATTTCTATGAAATGTCCAGAGTAGGCAAAGTAGGCTGTAGAGAGAAAGAATGGGGAGTTATTGCTCAGGAGTACAGAGTTTCTTTCTGGAGTAGTGAACATGTTGTAGACTAGATAGTGGTGATGGTGGCACAACTTTGTGGTCATACGAAAAACCACTGAATTGTACATTCTCAAAGGGTGAATGTTATGGCATTTGACTAAGATCTCAAAACAAAAATTCAGTGGGACCAACCTGAACGCCTCATGTCCCCCACAGAACTTGCCCCTTTGGTGCCCTCGCCTTAGAGGGTGGCACCATACCCACCCCATCCTCCTCAAAGCCCGGGCATCACCTTCACACCCTCATTCTCTGTTATCCCCACATCCTTTGGGCCCCTCTGTCCTCCTGGCATTCCTCTAAGGACCCAAAGGGATTTTGCTGGGGGAGGCCGAGACGTGAGAGGAGCCGGGACGGACACCAGAGGAACTCCGGCATGGGGATGGCACGGTATGTTGTGGCTGGTGGGGGCACAAGGTACAACCATGGGCAGGAGTTGAGCAGGCCAGGCAGATGCTATAGAGCACAGCAGCCTCAGGGAGGGCAAGACCAGACTCCAAGCCCGGGAGGGACTGAGTTTAGAGCTGGGGCCCACGCTGAGTGTTTGGAGGTTAAGCTACATGTTGTCTGCAGATAAGTTAGGCTGACGATTTGTGTTTAAAAATTTTTTTAATGAGTCACCAACCTCGAAATACCCAGAGGTTCCTTTGCTTAAAAATTTCAATTTCTCACTGCTCTTGAGAAGTCAAAAACTTGGGCTGTGCTGGGCCCAAGGCCTGCCGCAACGATAATGGGCAAAAACCAAGCAGTGGGCACCCCCTCCACACACATCTCCCTGGTGCGGGGCCCGCCAGGGTGACTACTCCTGTCTTCCATGCTCACTGCTTCTGCCTTGGCATGGCCTCCTCCTCTGTTCTTATCACTGCTACCTCTTCACAGTGCCCTGCCTCTGGCCTCCACCCTCACCCCATCCCCTGCCTGCCCTGGGCCTTCCCCTGCTAGACATCCTTCTATGGCTCCCCACGACCTATAGGAGAAAGCCCATGTTGCCCCAGCCTGGCATTCAGAGGCCTGAATCAGTGGCTGTGTTCACCCCTCCACCTCCTTTCCCCTAGGTCCTTTCATGCTCCACAGCCTAACCTTAGTGACTCTTTTGCTGTTTCTTTCCTGCTCCAGGGCCTTTCTTTGATCACACTCTGCTTTCCAGCAGGAGTGCTTGGACCAGGTAGGCACACAACGAGACTCTACCAACCAGGGTTTTTCATTTCCTTGGCCACAACAGTTGGCTTTGTGGTAGGCACTTGACGTGACCCCTGCCAGTAAGAGTTGGATCTGGGACTTTTGCTGGAACTCTGGGAAAGGAGACAGCCCTAGCGATGGCTAAGCTGGTGAGATGTCAGGCTGGAGCTGCTGGTGGCCGTTCTGCCACTATGAGGACAGAGAGACTCTGCCTAAGAATGAAGCCCAGAGGATAGCAGAGCTGGGAAGAGGAGAAAATCCTGGCTAGCTTCTCTGGAGAACCCAAATGGGACCAACGTGAACTCCCCATTTCCCTGTAGAACTTGTTCGTCCCGTGCCCTCCTCATGGGGGATCCAGCTTCCATGAAGCCTGCATTGATTTTTTTTTTTTCCCAGTTACATAAACCACTCAATAGCCCCACTCTTCTCTAGGAATCAAAAGAGTCCTGGTTCACTCATCCTCCACTCCTTACTTTTCCTTTGCTCACCCTGTACCCCACCTCTGTCCCATGGCTCCCAGCACAGGAATAGGCACAGAGAAAGATGCTGTAGAAATGTCCCTGGATGCATTTTCCCCAGCAATAATTTGTGTCTGTTCTCATCCCTGACTGGTATGTTCCAGGATCCATTTGAAAATCTCAGAAGCAAGTGAACTTCTCAAGAGCTCTGTGTGAGGTAGATGACGGCGGGGGGGGGGGGGGGGGGGGGGGGGGCGGTGCAAAAAGAAAGCCAAGAGCAGGCTTGCCGGGCTTACAGCCCCAGGTGTTTTTGCTCAAGGCTGGTTCCACCACTCCGGCACCTCTTCCAGGAAGCCTTCCCAGGCTCCACTTACCAAGCAGCATTCACAGATTTCACTGGGACCCTCCTGTGTACCGTGGCCAGACCTCTGTCTTCTCCAAACCAAAGCCTCCAGGCAAGGACATACCCCAGTACACTCCTTGTTTGGACCTGCTAGGTCACGGATGACAGCCCACTGCCTGTGTCCTGAATTACAGCGAGCTCATCACCTCCCAGGAGACAGTTCTAACTGCAAATTAACCATTTTAATTTGAGACAAAAAGAGTGAGATCTTAGCTCAGCCCACCAGGGCCTCAGACCCACTTGCTCCCTCCATTTGCCATGGACTTCTCAGAAGAGTGTGACTGATAGAGAACACAACCTCAGTTTGCCTTCTCAGTCTGTTTGGGTTCTCAACATCTCAGCCTCTCTGCCTCTGTCTTAGTAATTCACCAGCTCTCAGCCTCAGGACCTCTCTCTTCATCTGAGTGGTTGTGCTCCAACGTCCCTCTGTCTGGTTCTGTCTTTGTGTCTGCCCATCCCCCATCTTGTTTGTGCCTCTGTCTCTGGAATGCGGGAGTCTGGCTCTTCTCCCATGTTCCCCTTTGTACCCTGCAGCACCCATAGGACCAGACATTCAGACAGACAGGGGCCTTGGGAAGAGGGCTAACTCAAGAAAGGCGTCCCTCCTCAGAAACGAGCCTGCGTACAACATCTTTACAGGGATCCCCCCACCCTCGCTCCGTGGAACAGTTGGGAAACTAAAACCTGAGAGAGTAAGACCAAGCCCAGACCAGTTTCTGTCTGCACCTGAGCGGTCAGCAAAGCAGTGGGCAGTGGCCAGTGGCCAGATGAGGGTGCTGGAGACAGCAGGAGTTGCAGTCAGAACAGGAGGTCTGGGCTTGAGGGTGGGGTCGTGGGGGACACTGCCTTCCTCTCTCTGCTATATGACTTGGGCAAGTCAGTGCCCCTCTCTGAGGATGTTTCCTTTCCAGGTTATCAAGGCCAACTTTGGAGCCATGCAGCTGGATTCAAATCTGGTTCAGCTTCTTTCCGGTTGTGAGATCCAGACTAAATCATCCCGTGTCTCTGAGCCTCACCAACACTGAGGAGGCCACATGTGTTTGGAAACTGAGTAGGCTGTCCTTAGGAGGGAGGAAAGCAAGGGGGGAGGTAGGCAAGTCTCTGTTACTGGAGGTCTGTGTTCAGGACTGGATGTTGGCTTGGAGCATATGGTACAGCTGGGAGTGGGGTGGGAGGAGTGTCGCTTTCCCTCTGACAGTCTGTGACCAACACACAGGAGGGCCCTGGTGCTGCTCCCACTGCTGACCTGAAAGCAGAAATAAGGAGCAGTAGGGGCCACAGTGAGGACAACATTCTCCCAGCCTCTTCTGGTGAAGGATGGGCTGGGCCTGGGCAGGCAATCTCTCTGTTCCCTGGAAGGTCAGGAGTGCAGCTAATGGTGAGCTTTTAGGCCCAACCTGTACCTGGCATCCCAGCATCAGGGCCCCATTACAACGTTCTCAGAGCCCTTGTGAGGTGGGAAAGGAGAAGGCAGTGCTGAGGCCTGGGGGTCAAGAGACCTCCGCTCTAGCTGGGACTTGCTATGTGACCTGGAAACTCCACTACTCAGTTTTCCTCACAAGCTCAAATGACATTTGCAGATGTCAAATTGGTCTGTGAACAGGAGGGAGGCAGAGGCCGAAAGGTGTCACAGGGCTAGGTCCTGGCTTCGACTCCACCTGACTCCACTTTGACTCGACCTGACCTCCACCTTTGACTCCACCTTCCCCCAGATGGAGTAGGGGGAAGGCTGTTTTGGATATCAGAGGCCCTGGAGGGACCAGAGCGATATGGTCACTGTTTGGTCTCCTAGTCAGCCCACCCTGGGCTCTAGTCAGCAGTCCTGGTTTGGTCCCTCAGCAAAAACGGGGACATGGAGACCAGAGGGGCAGGGCCCTCAGAATCACACAGCAAAGTGATTCTGCCAGGCATCCCCAAGCCCCCTCAGCAAGAGCTGAAACTCCTTCATTGGACCTGGGGCCTCCAAGAGCCTTCTGCAGTATCACTCTGAGTGGATATGATTACCCCCCACATCCCCCTGGGGCACACACATCAGGTGGCCAGCCACCTCAGTCACCCGACATGCACATGTGGATCCCCAGCCACAGGGACACAGCCAGCAGCCACCCCCAGTAGGCACATGCCCAGACACAGAACACGTGCATCCACACAGAGCTCTAGGTACGACACACATGCACACACAGCACATGCAGTGCTCACACAAGCATATGTGTAAGCCACTGCCAGGCCTGTCTTGGCTCCCAGGACAGCAAGACTTCAGGGGAGTACCGCCTTACTCTGCCTCTGCACTCCTGGGGCAGTGGGACAGGTGTCAAGATGCCGAGAAAGGAGCAGTCATCCCTGGGACCTGAACTCACCTCCATGCCACCCGACATGCCATCACTAAGGTCCCAGGTGTTCTGAATTTGAAAGTTTCTTTGCTCTGGGGGTTTCAAATATCTCAGGATGCCTCTAATTTAGGCAGGGCAGGTGGGAACAGGGCCTGTCCCTCTTTGGCTTGTAAAATGGGGCGTGGCCTCGGTCTCTTAGTAGTGGCCTGGCTTGGCTAGGAGGTCGGAAGTAGAAGGACTTTGGTTGTGGTTTGCTGGGGCCCTGGCCTCCAGCACCACTCACCACTTGAGAGACCATTAACAGTGAGTCAGTTCCTTAGAACCCAACGTCTTTGCCTCTTGTTCACCACATGACCCAGGGCAGGACTTCCCCTCTACCTCAATGTCCCTATCTTGACAATGAGTTAGCAGGCTTCCATACCTTCTGAATAGCACTACAGTTTGTCAGGGAGGGTGACAACCGATGGAGAAAAAGGGGGCTCTTTGGGGTCATGGGGGCATCCCAGAGCCTGGAGGAAAGGCCCAGGTTGAAAGCTGGTGCAAGAGGGTGGCAGGTAGGGGGCCCAGACTCACCCAATGACGTAGACAAGAACCACAAGCTGGATCAGGCGGAAGACGACGCCCACCTTCTTGTTGCGTACGAGCACCATTCGGGGAGTGTCATATTCAAAGAAGAAAGCAGCCAGTTCATCCTGGAGCCGCTGTGCCATGGTGGGCCAGGCTGGCGCCTGAGAACCGAGCCCCTTGCACAGACTTTGCTCTTGAGGTGAGCCAGGTGTCAATGCCCACGTCTACAGTGGAGCTTCTAGGGGCTTCCTGGCCCCTTAGGAAGGGCAGGGCAGGGCAGGGCAGGGCAGCTGGGGCCAGAGGTCAGGAGTCAGGGATCAGTTGAAGGCACTTGGGTTGAAAAATAGAGTCCTCGGGTAGTCAGAGCAGCTCTTGGCCCCTGGCAGGCAATGGACTGTGGGCCAGCCGCGCCTGTGGACAAAAAAATTCCCAAAGATAGATGGGGGCGGGGCTGGTGGGGCCACCCAGGCTCAGCCCCACAGCTCCTTCTGGCTCCGCCTGGGCCCTGCTGAGCCTCCGGAAACAGGAGCTGTTGGCAGGAAACCACGGGCCACCCGTCATAAGGCAAAGATAAAGCTTTCAGCCCCCCCACGAACCTAGCGGAACAGAACAGGGCCAGGGCTTGGGTGGAGTGGCCTCAGGCTGAAGCCTTCCCCAAACCATGGACCCATTCCCATATCCAAAGATCCTCCCCACTCTACCTGTGCCCCCAGGTGTGGAGCTCAGTCCCGGGGTGGGGTGGGGGTTGTGGCCAGGAGAGCAGAAGCAGAAGCAGGGCCATTTCCGGAGGTATCAGCTATCTGATGCTCCCAGAGCCTGCAGCAGGACCCCCACTTCTGTCCTTATAGACCAGCTTCCATCCACCTGTTCCTCTGAGTCCAAGCCTGGCCTGTGCCCAGTCAACGTTTGCACTGGGCTGGCATCTCCATAGCTCACCTCTCCTCTCCCATCGTTTGTTCAGTCCCAGCCACACGTCCACCTCCCAAAACAAGCAGAGGGAGGGACGCAAGTGCCCGGAAGATTCAAGGGTCCCATCTGTGGCACACTGCCCATGGGCTCCTGAGACAAAGCTGGGAAAGCCCGACATCAGATAGCCTCAGTTAATATCCTTGGCTCTGTTACTAGCTGCCTGTGAGGGCTTTGGGTGATTTTCCTCACCAGCCTGAGCTTGCATCCTCATCTGTGAAATGGGGATGATAATGGGATTTCCCTCATAGGTAGAGGCCCTAGGGGCATGGGTCCCAACAACACTGAAGACAAAAACCTGAGGCCACTGTTGATCTTAAGGTACAGACCCTCTGCAGCCCCTGTCTTCAACTGCACCCCAGGGCATGAATGCAAGGGTCCCAGGGGACTGGGGGTGGGGCAGAGGTTTCATGTTTGCTTCTGGGGCCCTAGAGCTGGAGGCCTCCCCTGACCCAATGCCTTGTTTTGCGGATGAAGAAATGAACTCAGAGAGGAGAAATGAATTGCCCAAGCTCACCCTGGGCTGTACTGGAGGTCTCAGCTTGAAGCAGGAAGGCCTCCCTGGTTGGCCCTCAACCCAGGCCGGGTGTCCTTGGGGCTTCCTCTGGAGATGGGAGACGGAGGCTGGGTTTCCCCCCCGGGGTGTGGGGAACTCCCCTGCAGTCCAAGGTGCCTCGCTCTGAAGGCTGATAGGAGTCTTCTTCCTGGCAGGCCTTTAGCTGGGCAATTGCTCTAGGCAGGGAGCCAGGCTCCAGGGCTAGAAATCCCAGCTGCCTGTCTGAGTAGAGCTGCTTTCTGGGCGGTGAGGGCCCCCACGGAGGGCAGGCCCATGGCCCCTTCCAGCACCTTAGGCCAGTTGTCCCCTCTCAAACAGATCATCTCACTGATCTCAGGCCCAACTGTCTGTCCAACACTACCTTCCAGAGGGGCAGCCGGAACCATGTCTTGGGCTTTTCTAAGGAAAAAATCCAGAGATGCTGGGAGCCAGACCTCTGGGTATCATGTCCCCTTGGCCTGGTCTTGATCCCAGACAAAAGGGCCTATTCCCTTTCCAGGTGACCCCATGGTTCTTGGAATAGCAGGTCCCAGCACATGAACTGCTTGCAGTCAAGAGTGGGGGTGGATGCTGACACTCTACCGGAGCCGTGTTTGTGCCCCACTCCACCCATGATCCCCGGACATTCAGGAGGGTAGCAGGCACCAGGGGAAGTGGGGAGGGAGGAGGAAGGAGGGGGGAGGAAGTCAGGCAGTCTCTAATGTGCACCTGCCCTTTTCCTATCATCACCACGACCTCCACTACCTCCTCCTTCACTCCCTCTCCCCATCTCCAAGGAGCCAGGCTTGCTGACAGACAGAGGGACTAATGGACAGATGATGTCCTTTGCCTGACTAAATTTAGCAGCCAGTGGCGTGCAGAGGGGGCCTCTGCCTATCCTGAGGGCCAGCCCAGGTCCTCAAGGGGTTCGGCACAAGGCTCCGATGGGTCTCCTTAGCTACTCAGACACCCTTGCTTCCAAGCACGCACCTGTGCTCCTGTTACAGCCTCAGTTCTGACCCTGACACTTAGAAAACAGACTGTCATGGGGGACTATCTCATTTGGGGTTGTCATATCCAAAGCATGCCCAAAATAAAAAGAAATAAAAGCAATTACATTTATCTTCCCCATTACAAATCTTTTTTGCTAATAATTTTGCCAAAGTAAGACAGACAGCTGATAGGACCAATGCCTCTTTCACTGGTTCTAAAATGCATCTTTCCATCTAGGCCTATGCTTTCCCACCTTGCCCCAACTACAGCATCCCCAGGAACAGACACCTGTGATTGTTCTAGGCATTTTGGGGGGGGCAGAGACGGGCAGGGCAGGGGTCAGAGTTTACAGGGGACACAGTACTTTCACATTCAGCAGATTTCTTTTTTAAACAGCCTCATGAGGCAGGTACTGGAACCCCCATTTTACAGATAGGGAAACTGAAGCTCTAGAAATTGTGTGCCTTGCCCAAGTAGCTCCCATGTCTAGTGGCTGGAAAGGAGGCTCCCCAAAGTCTGAGAGATTGGGCCAGAGCCCACCCCAAGAATCCAGCCCTTGAGAGCTGCCAGATCTGCCTTATAAGCCCAAAGGCCGAGTGGCCAGCTCCAGTATTGGGCCAGACCTTGTAGGGAGACAAGGCAGTGCTGCCAAGCCCTCAGCCCCAGGACAGCCTCCTCTGCCTGGCTAAATTTAGCAGTTCTATGGAGTGTGGAGGGGGCCTGTGTCCATCCTGGAGGCCAGCCCAGGCCCTCAAGGGGGTTGGCACAGACTCCAATGGGTCTCCTTAGCCATTCAGTGTCCCAAGGTTGCAGGGATGACACCTCTGCTTGCAGAGTTCAGTCCAGTCCCCCACCCTGGGTCTGTCAGTGTCCCAGGGCTCACTCAATGCCGCTCAGCCCCTTAGATGCCGGCTAGAATCTGGGCCAGCCTAACAGAGATTGTCAAAGGGAGGTTGTGGAGGCAAGCGTCCATAGGGAAGCCACAGCAGGGGTCCTCAGGGTTGGTTTCTCCTCTTGCCCAGACCTTGCACTGCTCCTCTGGCCTCTTCTAACCACCCCACCCCGACTATGAGCTCCTTCTCCCTAGCATCCGCGGTATCACAACTCCCTGGTTCTCCTCCATCCTTTTGGGACATTTCCTCTTGGTCCCCATCCTCTTGCTGCCCCTGGAAGGTGGGACTCCTTGGGGCTGACCTAGGTCCCTGCCCCTCAAACTCTGAGTACCCCTTGGGAGGCTTGTCTCCTTGCCTCCTGATGCTGCTGAAACCTCCACACCCACCTGGTAGCCACCGGCCCACCCACCTCCTCTGGCTCCTACCTTTCTTTTCTTCTAAATCAAACTGTATTGAGGTATAACTGACATACGGTAAAATGTACCCATTTTAGGCACACAGTTTGATGAGTTTTGACAAATGCATGCAACACCCCCCATCATCTGTCCCCCTAGAATGTCCCCAACCTGCTCTTTTGCTGGCAACCCTCCCCAACCCTAGCCCCAGGCAATCACTGATCTGTTTTGCTTTTTCTAGAACTTCATGGAGGTGGAATTGCACAATACGAGCTTCTTTTACTCAGCACAAGGGTTTAAGCTTCATGCATGTTGTTGCATACATGAGTAGTCTGCTCCTTTTTATGGCTAGAGAGCATTCTGTTGTATGGACAAACCACAGCCTGTTGTCCTCCCCTGTTGGTGGTTATTTGGGTTGTTTCCAGTTTGGGGCTATGATGAGTAAAGCTGCCATGGACTGTTGGCTTCAGTTCTTTGTGTGGGCATTAGGCCTCCATTTCCTGAGTTTGCCCTTCCATTTCTCCCAGTCTCTCCTACCCCTCTGCGGTGTACAGCGTGGGAGGCCTGGGGAGCCCAACCTGGGCCGATGGAGGGGGCAGGGTGAGGCCTTGGGCATTTTGGCAGTGGCCATCCCTGAGCCAGGGAGAAGTGTGCCAGGGCTTGCCCTGGAATTCCCTCTGGGCTGAGTGGCTGTGAGGTAGGAAACCTCTGTTTCCCTTGGCTGCTCCATCTTGACCTGTCAGGCTCCATGCTGTGGGCTGGCAGGGCTGGACTTGCGCAGGCCTGGCCATGAGCTCCAGCAGCTGATGGAACCCTCCATGCCCATCTGATGGGAGTGCTGAAGCTGGCCTGTCTACGCATCAAGCCCTCCATGCCCATCTTAACTCCATGTTCTGTCTGTCTGCCATGATGAAGCCAGCTAGACAGTCAGGCTTTCCAAGAGCTTTGGGGTGTTCATCTGTAAAATGGAGCCATAACCCCTGACTGGCCCATCTCAAGGAGCTGGTTGGGCACCCAGGGAGCTGAGGCATACAGAATGGTTTTGGGATCTGAGAGGTCTAACTGATGGACCATGCGGAAGGAAGACTCCTTCTGCCCGTCCTTGGCGCCCACTGTGAACTATGCACCAAATCTTGCCCTTCCCCAAAATAAAACCCGGGAGCTCCTAAGGGTGGGTTGTGTCTCTTCCAGTCACGGCTGGCTTCACGGATGTGTGACCTATGCAGCTGCACAGGACCCCATGCCCAGAAAGGCCCTGCATTTCGTTTTAATACTCAGCTGTCGCTGCTTTGAAACTAATTCTTTTTTTTTTTTAAATTTTATTTATTTATTTGTCAGAGAGAGAGAGGGAGAGAACGGCAGGCAGAGGAAGAAGCAGACTCCATGCTGAGCAGGGAGCCCGATGCGGGACTCGATCCCAGGACCCCGGGATCATGACCCGAGTCAAAGGCAGACGCTTAACCAACTGAGCCACCCAGGCACCCCTGAAACTCCTAATTCTTAAACAAGGGCTCCACATTTTCATTTTGTACTGAGCCCCACAAACTACATAGTCAGTCCTGTCCCTGGCTCTGTGGGCAGGGCCTGATTTCCCTTCCCAGGGCACTGGGCAGAGGATTAGAGACAGAAACTTCTTGAGTGAATCTTCTCTCCAGAGGAAGAAAATGAGGGAGATGGGGACACACAGCTATTCCCTCCACAGAGCCCCTGCTCCCAGACAGCAGAACCACCTGGGTGAGTCAGAAGTTAATATCAAGCAGCCTCTCAAAGGTCCCTGGACAATGTGAGCTGAGAGAAGCCTTGGGGAGGAGCCCTGGAGCTGGGCTTAGAAGGGCATGAAGTTGATGGCACCCTGGGGTTCAAGGAGGGGAAGGAAAGAGAGTGAGAAACCTCAGGGAGAGATGCAGGACCCATGGAATAGTCAGGGCTGGAGGCCCATGGTATTTAGGCTCCAGGCCTAGCCCGGCCTCAGGCCAAGTCATGAACCCTTCCCAGCCTGTTTCCTTAGTGATGACACTGGAATCTTAACATATGCAAAGGGCTTTGAACATGTACACAAACTATCAAGTGCGGTCCCTGTGAGCAGAGTCATGCATTTGCCATTTGGGAGAGGGTCAGGAAATCAGTGTCTCTCCTGGGTCCTCTCTCAGAGGAAGACAGCAATCCCTGGGGGAACCTCAGACCTTGGCTCAAGGTTCCTGACGTGAGTGGGTGTGGGTGGTGGGAGCCCAGGTGGACACCACATGGGCAGATGGTGGAACTGCTCTCTAGGAAATCAGACAGATCGTCCTCTGTTGCCCCAGGCACTCAACCTTTATTTCTCTACCAACTGCATGTCAACAGATGGGTATAGGGCCTCACCACCCTCCCCCACCTCCAGGTCTGCCAATCGTCCGGCAGGAAAGAAGCGGAGAATCTCTGCGGGCTGGTGCCCGGGGGAGCCCTGCCCAACTCTGCTTCTCTTATGGGGCCTCTCTGGGGACTTTGAGAGAGGAGGGGACCGGGGAGAGGTAAGGTAAGAGGCCACAGTACCTGGAGCCCTAATTTTTGCCAAAGGGGCAAAAGCGGAGTTAAAAGAACATTTATGTCCATCAAACACTCTTTTCCCATCATCAGACATGATCCAACACACATTCCTCCAGCAATGAGGGAGGGAGAGGAAGTGCCCTTGGGTAACTAGCCATTCTTATTGACATCCTTTCGGCTCATGGGTGTGCGGGGTTGGAGGCAAAGAGTGAGGCCAAGAGTCTAGGGGACTCAGAATCACCCAGCTGCGTAGACTGGGGGATGGTGCACACAGGGTTGGGCTGAAAGGGCACAGTGATCAGGTACCCAAGGATGTCTGGGGTCTTAGGCCCCAGGGACATGAAGGGCAAATCCGGCCTGAGCTTGGCAGACTGGGCAGCACCGAGAGAGACTTGGCATATCTCATTTGCTTAGGACAGGGAAATCTGAGCCTGAGGGTGCCCAGAGCAAGGCAGGCAAGCCAGCTGTCTCCTGGGAAGGGGATCCTTGCCCAGCCCCCTTCCCCTACTTCCATGTCCCTCTCTCTGACCCTTCAACCCCCTGTGCATACAAACAGTAAGAGGCTCAAGCCCTCATGATTCTTCTGTTTTATGGAAACAAAGTGGAGGGGGTTACCTGCCCTTGCTGTGCACAGCTGGGCCCAGATGTTTCCCCCAATTCACCCCCTTACTGACCAGGCCCCAGACCAGTCACTAAGCAAGAGTTCCTCCATGAGTGTAGAGGCACCAGTCACCAAGTAAATGCCCAGCCTCCAAGCAAGGGGGGGGGTGCCTGCTCCAGAATGTGCTCATGGATTTGGGGGGTAGAGGGCTCTGCATGTCTGGATGTGCTGCCAGCTCCCTGGCTTCTGGGCAGATCCCTCCCAGGCTGCAGCTCCTGGGCTAGAGCTTCATAGCTGAACTTCCCAGGAGAGTCCCCGAGACATGAATTAGAGAGCCCCCATGTGTACAGAAGCAGGGACAGAGACTCTTGGCAGGGCCCAGTGAGCAAGCGATGAGCGTGACGGCGGTGTGGAGAGTCGGGGTGAAGGCCTGGGCATCATCAGTCTGAGGTACACACTGGAGACTCCACCCTGTTCCCGGCATTCACTTCTGGTCCTTCTCTTCTGGAAGAAAAACCCAAGAGTATGCCAAGAGGTGTATGTGTGACAGTGCACATCCACACTGGTTCCTTCTAGCTCCTTCCATCCTCCATTTCTCCTGGGACAGCTGCATTCTCCCACAGCATTCATCAGCGGATCCCCAGTTCCACTGTGTCTCCTGATGCAGCCCCACATATCCAGCTGCTGCCAGACACAGTTCTCGGATGCCCCCTGGGCCTCCTTCACTCCCCATGTTCTATCAACAATGCCAGCCCAGCCCGGGGCATATTTTGCCCTTGATTTTCAGTCTGGGAAACAACTACCCAGTATGATGAGATCCAGAAACTGGTGGCATCAACTCTTCCTTCATCCCATATACTCAGGTCTGCTGATTTTACCACCTACATCTCTTGAGTTCATCTCTTTCCCCTTCAAGTCCTCTCTGCCCTGCCCTTAGCCCCCCCTTACCTCACCGTCATGCTCCTGACCCTGGCATCACACTACAAATCCAGGCTGTCATCCCCTTGGGTGGCTCTCCATTGCCTTCGGCATAAAGGCAAGCCCACCTCGCATCCCGGACTCTCCCAGATCTGTCTCCACCCAGTTTCTCCAGGCCTCCTCTCCCCTCAGTCTGGCCCGACGGCCTCTTTGCCTGACAGCTGCTCAGCCACACCTGGGTACAGCCAGAAGATGGGGCAAGAGGACCCCCCCTCGCCCCCTTGCCTACCCCCTGGGGCTGACCGGGCATCTGCAATTCTTCCCAGGACACATTCCCTCATAAATCATAGGGAAGCTACGAGCATCAAGCCTCAGCAAAACTTCCCTAAAAGGCCACCAGGCTGGCTTGGGAATGTAGCAGGGTCCTCTCTCTCACCCCCGCCCCATCGGCTTTAGGAGGCCCGAGGGACTACAGCCACACAGGGCAGAGCTGTTTGGCTTGCAGTGGGCGCACACCACTCCACCTCTCCCATGGGGCCACACATGCCCTGTGGGCCCCACAGCCACTCCCTACAGCAGGGCACCACCCTTTCAAGCCAAGCCTCACGAGGACCATAGTCAACATCTCAGGTTCATGGTGGAGGTGGAGGTGTTGCCTAGAACCAGCTCACCCTGGGCTGGACTCAGTGTCTCCCCTCAGACCAGCTCAACACAGCTCATCAGCCTCCCTGCCTTGCCCCTCACATCTGTCCTCCATGGTTACCCCAGTCCCTTCCATGCTTCCACCCTTTCTGGCTCCCACTGCCATGAGGATATGTCCAGGGTCCTTAACTTGGCATTCGAGGCCCTTTCTGCACTCTAGTCTTACCTCTCTCCCCTGCACTCTGAGCCCCAGCCCCACTAGAAACGCCAAAGCATGCTAGCTTAGCTCTTTCCGCACCAAGTTCCATCCTCCCCTTTCAAACCTCTGCTCAGACCTTGCCTCTTCTAGAAATCACCTCCAACCCTGGCCCAGCAGGGATTGCTCCCTCCCTAGCCCTTCCAACCTGTCCCATCCTGTTAGGGTCACCATCCAGCAGCCAGGACTGAATAGTGCCCGAGACACAGGTTTTCCCCATTGGCTAAGAAATTTTGAAAGTTTTCTCAAGAAAATTTGCTGAGCCCCTTGGCTGTTGTGGCTGCTAGGGAAGGCTCTCAAGGAAGACAGAGAAGCCGCCCAAGCTGCCAACGAGACCTGACTTCACAGGTGAGTTAGTGTGATCAAGGTTGGCCAGTGGATTTTCTCGTAGACCACCCCTGCGCTTCAGCCAGAAATGGGGAGGCCCTGGGCTCCCAAGGATGGAATTTTAGATCTATTTCACCTTCTTCAGCTCCCTAGGAGTAAGCATAGTGGGTGGGTCAGAAAGAACCATACAGGGGGCAAAAGGCCTTGTCTTGCTCCCTGCTACCTCACCCATGCGCTCCAACAAGGCCTTGCTTTGGCCGAGCACCTTAGCCCCGCCCTCAGGTGAGCCCCTGTGTGTGCGTCCAGTATGGACAGACCCATGGTGGGCCAGCTTCTTCAGGAGGCCAACTTGTTTTGGCCTCTTTAATAAGATAAAATGTTTGCAGTGCCCAGGAGGACTGGCCAGCGTGGGAGATAGGAGCCGATTGATTGCCTTGGCCCCTATGGAATGACAAGCACGTGATCTATTTATAGCCCCCCAACTCCAGGCTCCCTCCCCTGAGGCTGGGGCACATTCCTGCCAGAGATGGCCCTCAAGGACCCAGCTGCTCCCATGCAGGCTTTGGCCATAGCTGGGCCTAATCCAGACCCTCCACAGCAGCCTGGCCATGGGGCTACTGACTTGGCTCACACTCCCAGGAACAGGGAGTTTTTTGCCCCCACTTCTTCCCTCTCTAAGCAGCTCTGACAGGGAGAAGAGGTGGCCTCCCTTGCGCACGGGAGGTTTAGAATCCCCCACTCTCTGAGGCTCCTCCGCCAGCAGAGGTCGGCAGATGGATGCTATGCCCCAGCCCACTCCTCTACATGCTGCCCCCAACTCTGCCTCTGCCATTGTCCCTCTTTTCCTGGATTAAGGCAGACCCAGAGCTGTGAGCTCAGAAACAGGAGAACCCCCTCTTCCACCCTCCTACAAGGTGACACCAAAGAGGTCAACCCAGTGTGGTCTAGGGTCCCGGAGGTGGTCAGTAGCTGCCCACTCCATGCCCGGGAGACTGTCCTGAGCATGCCTGCATAAAGGCAGGCTGGGTTCAGAGAAGTCCAAGGCCAAGGCCCAAAGGAGGGTACAGTGGGCCTGGCCATGCAGGGTTGGTGGCAAGTGAGGAGAGGGAGGGAACATGGCTCTGAGTAGTGCTCTTGGCTGCTGTAGCATAAGACCCTGCAGGTACCACAGGCCATAGCCACCAGAACAGAGCCCCTTCTCGTCCTCCACTTGGAGATCCGAGAATACTTCTTTTTCTGTTCAGACAGGGAGGCTGCAGCCTGGGAAGAGAGGCAAGCAGGGAGGTGGGCAGGGAAGCAGGCTAGAGGCAAGCAGGGTGGGGAGGGTCTGGAGCTCCCCACTCACCATCCATGTGGTTCCGGGACAGGTACTTGAGGGCTTCATCAAGCAGGATGACAGGCAGAGATATCTGGAGCACCACCACCCACTGGCGCCCACTCAGTGGGGTCACCTGGAAAATAAGCTGGGGAGGGGGGAGGTGTGGTTAAAGCTGTGCCCCCACCATCTACCTGCTTCATACACCCGGGCTACCATGGACTCTTCGTGAGCAAGGTCCTACCTCCAGATCTTTGTCTACCCTGGTTCCTCTGCCAGAAGAGCCTGCCCTCCTCTGCCCTCCCCCAATGACCAAATCATCTTGGTCCTGTTTGAGAAATGGGAGGGATTCTGTACTGGGGAGGAACATAGTCTCCTCCTTGCCCTCGCCTTGGGAGATCCCCCACAGCAAGAGGTCTTATCTGCACCTCTTCAGTCCCCTGAGTCTGAGGATTCCCAGAGCACAAGCTGTTCGTGCCAAGCACTTTCAGATCTCCCCACTCCCCGTCTGCCAGGCAGTTTCCATAGCAGAAGGGCCCAGAGAGGCCCAGTGACCACCCCAGGGCCAGACCGTTGCAGGAGGGTATGGGCCCTGTCACAGAAGAGGACTGGGGCAGGGCAGAAACTCACGGGCAGGGGCGGCACCAGTAGGATGAGGAAGTGCAGGGCCATGGACATGACCACAGCGGCCAGCAGCCAAGGGTTCAGCCAGGGCGGCATCCGCAGCAGCGACTGGTTCTCTGAGACACTGCCAAGGGCACAGAGTACTCACTGCAGGCCCTGCTGTGGGCGCCATCCACCGTGTGGCCTGGGCCTCAGCACTTCCCGAACTGGGCCTACAGGCTGGAGCGCTTCAGGAGGCCAGTGTAGCCAGGAGGGGTGTGTCACAGTTAACTTGCTCAGCCCCAGGGGCCTGTCCTAGGGCTTGGACGCCCTTTCTCTGTCCCTCAGACCCACTCTTGGCCCCTCTATTTATTCAGGCCCCAGTCGTGGCCCTCTTTGTTCCCTAGATTTCAATTCTGGCCCCACTTACTCTCAAAACCCCCTTTGGAACCCCTCTGACACTTAGGCCCTAATTCCAAACCCCCTGATCCTCAGACCACAATCCTGGATCTCTGACCCCAAATCTGGGCCCTGACTGACTCTCAGCCGCCACACTTAGGCCTCACTCCCCCATCTCTCAACCCCAGCTCCAGGCCCCTCTGCCCAGCCCACCTGTTGAGGGCATTACACATTTCAATGGTCACCAGCACAGACAAGGCCATGGTTGTGGGAAAGCGTGACTCGAAGACCTCGCAGTCGATGTCAGCAAAGAGTGGGTTGTCCTTGGAGCACTTCAGGAAGTTCCTCTGAGGGTACCAAGGTTGGGTGGGGTGGGGTGGGAGAGAACAGCGGTCAGGAGAGGGTCCGGTGTGTGGGAAGAGGGAGGCCTCACTCCATCCTCAGCCCACATCTGAGCACATAATACAACCACTGGGCAAAGTGCTGCCATGCGGTGGGCCCAAGGAGGGGCACCCACCCAGGATGGGGTCAGAGGGGCGACACTGTGCTGGAGGAAAAGGCAGGCCATCCTGGGGCACAGCTATGGAGGGACAGAGTAAGAGCAGCTAGCATTGGGATGGGGAGGACAGAAGAGGGCCCTGGGATCAGAGGGAGGATGCGGTCTTTACCCTGAGGGTGCATGGGGTGCCCTGAATATCGGAGCTGCCAGAGTGGGGGCGATGATTTACTGAGACCACAGAACAAGTAAATGCTGATAACCAATCAGCCAAATTGTTTGAATAGAATTCACCTTTGGTGGGCAAAGGCTGCATGTACCCTAATCACTGCTATTAAATAAGATTCCATTCATATCTCCCTCCATTTCTGCCACGGAAACTGAGTTCTACCAGACTTGTGTTTTGCTTACGACACGGATTAATGAATTGCTAGGTGCGGGCTTACTACACGGCTTCCTCATAATTAAGGAAAAGATCTCAGGGCTCTATAGGCGATGTGGCTGTTGGCCCTGCAGTCCCAGGGGAGAGTTTGCTTCCTGTTCACAGACTTTGCTTACAGAGTCTGCTGAGATAAGATGCTGAGCTGAGGACATGCGTGAGAACTTCTATCCTGTTCTCTTCCACAACACTGGGATGAGTGTGAATATTCATCACAGTTAGACAGCTTCCTTCTCCAATAACATAAATTTGTTCTCTGGATTATCATCTGAACACAGAGATCTTTTAAGCTAAAGTTGTTTAAAAGCTGGATCCACGTGATGTAAAAATAACCCTCAAAGAGAAATCTATAAAATGACAGGCTCTCTGAGCTCCTGTCCCGTAAATAGGTCCCTGTTTTCCCACACTGCATAAATACCACCGGGTAAGGTGACTGTCAGCCAGAAGGGGCCGCTAGCACTTTCCTCTTCTCTCTCAGGCAGGATGAAAAATTCTAAAAGACTATGGCTTGGCTAGATTTCTTATTTCAACAAAGAGGTGGAGATTCTTATCTCATTTAAATCAACAGTGGGATTTTCTCCAAAAATCAAGCACCAGTATTGGGGACAAGTGCATGTTTTTATGTGGCAGTGTCCTAAAATTTGATTCCACCCGGAGAACAAGAGGACCAAATGCCTCTTCCTGTTGTACCACTATGGTCAGGCCCCACTTTTCCAGATCTTAATGACCTATGCATCCATGTGCATACAAATGCAGTGTACACCCCTCCCACTCAAGCGTGTGCAAGCCTAGAGCTTTATGCCTGTGCAGAGAGAAAAATACACAAACAGGGGCACATCACGATGTTTCAATAGATAAATGCCCTGCCCAATTCAGACCTCCTGGGTTTTACCAGTGTGCATCTGCCACACGTGTGCATTATGCCCCAGGTCATGAGTCATAGTGTGGCCTCTTGAATTGTTTATTAGAAGGTACTCAGGGCTGGAACTTCTGTCTCATAGGTTCATTGTGAGCCTTGTGGGGGTGGGGGCTTGTTTTCTCTGGGTGACACCACTGCTCTGCCTACTCCTTCCCTTTGCCTCCCTGGCTATTTCCTATTTACCTTATCCTGCAAGGCCTCCTCTATGTTTCATTAATTTAATTAATACTTACACAACTCTTACTATGTGCCAGATGTTGGTCTAAGCACTTTACAAGAATTGACTCCAAGTTAATCCTCCTGACTGCCTTATGAGGCTGAGGCAGGGACAATTATTACCCATTTTATAGATGAGGACACTAATAGAGAGGCTAAGTAGCCTGTCCAAAGTTACACAGCCAGTGTGTGGCCAGAACTAGGGTGTGGACCCAGGTAGCCTGGGTCCAGGTTCCATGCTCTGTGCTCTTAACCACTCTGCTGCCTTTTGACAGCTTCCTTCAGAAACCAAGGGCAGTTCTAGGCGGCTCTGCTGAAATTCCAACAACCGAAGCTGAAAGCTCTACCTTAGGTCTAACCCTAGACCACCTCCAAGTCCCACAGCCACTTGTATTTTTTCTGCTGAAGCTTCTCACCTAAAATGTGACTGCCCACTTCCACGTTCTTCCCAGGTCTTTGCAGAGCCTTTGTGTGCTTGGTGACGGGCATACAGTTGATGCTTAATAGTCATTTTTTGACCAGATGGATAAATAATGAGAAATGGAATGACCTGAAGACAGTTGGGAAGGTGGCACCAATGGGACTGGGGACTAACTAGTAGTGGGCATGGGGTATGTGTCTACCATGACCCCCACAGGTCTGGCATGGGTGACCAGGTTGGCTGTAGAACTGAGATGGGGATGAAGGAAAGGGATTATTTGGGGAAAGGTGATAGATTCGATTTTGGTGAGTGCAGTGGGCCTGTGGGACATCCTAGAGGAGATATCCGGCTGGATATATGGGACTGGGCTCAGAAGAAAGACCGCGGTGGGGGTGGGGTATCCTGGGAGATTTGAGATCTGTAGATAAAGGAGGGTAATAGAGACAGTGCTGAAGGAGGCAGAGGCAGGATGGTCAGCACGCCCTTGCCCTGCACCTTGCTGCTCCCATAGGAGCTAACTGAGCAGAGGTGCTTGAGGCTGGCCTGAACTTTCTGCCAAGGGCTGAGGGGCACCAGGCTTTGGGATGAGAGCCTGGGCCTGTGCTCTGCACTGCTGTCAGAAAGGAGAGCCCACATGCTAGAGGGCTGGTGGGTACCAGGAAAGTATCCCTGAGCTGACTGTACCTAGATGTGAATACTGCGATAAGGCCTGAAATCACAGAGCCTCCCAGGGAGGACAGCCAGTGATAGGGCAAAGGGTCAGGTCCCTCCTTTGAGCTCTTCTATCCACAAGAAGGTAACGAAGGCAGGTACACTCAGAGGAAGAAGACCCTAAATCCCTGCAGCTCTCAGCTTTAAATGAAAAATCCACAACTGCCTTTGCTAGATTCGCTGCGAAGGTTCTTTGAAGCAAAAGAGATACCCAGACAGGGGCGCCTGGGTGGCGCAGTCAGTAAAGCGTCCAACTCAGTTTTGGCTCAGGTTGTGATCTCAGCATTGTGAGATCAAGCCCCACATCGGGCTCTGTGCTCAGCATGGAGTCTGCTTGGATTCTCTCTCCCTTTCCCTCTGCCTCTCTACCCGCTTATTCTCTCTCAAATAAATAAATAAATCTTTAAAAATAATAATAAAAAAAGGAAATGCCAGACAGAGGGACAGACTGACAGATAGCAGCTGAGGGGTCTCCTTGCTTGCTTCTAGAGCTATGCTGAGCTAAGCTAGCCCTGTGGTGGGCACCTGCTAGGCAGGTGACTTCAAGAGGTCAGTGGATCCCTTTCTAGAGAAGCATGTTGGTATGGAGGTGGAGGGGGAGCCTGGCAGATTCCTTCCCTCCACTCTCAATTTCCTTACTCGGACCCCCTGCCTGAAGTTCTACCTTTCAGGTGTTCATATCTCTGAGCCCTCAATTTTTGGGGGGGTTCCATGATAAAGGTAAGATATTTCTGTGCAGTTATGCCCCTTGTTAGCCCCCTAACCAAATGATTGGGCGAAGGAGTAACCACTTCTCTGGCTCAGGAGCTGGGCTGCTATCTCTAGGTTTCCAGTGGCTTCTGAGCATGCCTCCTTCGATGGTGGATGTCTGTGTATGTGTATGGGGGTAGGGAGGGACAGCTGTAGGCCAACCACGGGGTTCCAGGCCCCTTTCCCCTGGAACTCCAACAACTACTTGGGCTGTGAGTTCTACCTCAGAAATAACCCCAACAGGCTCCCTGGCTGTCCTTGCTTACCAGTTGGTAGAAGGTGACGTGAGGTCCCTCGGCATCATAAAGGAACCACCAGGTGGCGGCAGCCACCGTGGCCAGGCCCACGTACACTGCAAGGAGGAGAGGAGGAAACTGGCTATAGTGGATAGCTGTGGTTTTCTGGCATCGACTTCCCCTTCCTAACAATCTCCTGAATTTCTGTCAAAGAACAACCCTCTCCCTCTCTGAGCCATGTGGTTTGCAAGCACCTGTCCTTAGTAACAGTGGTGGGCCCTGACCGGCAATCAGCACCCACCACTCCCCTGGCCACGGTGATTGGTAGGAGATAAGCAGGTGACCCAATGTGGGCCGAGAACAGGTCTGAGACTTTTGTCATATTACTGAGGGGTCGCTCTCTGTTCTGTTGAATTTGGGGTTGGGATGGAGTAAACATGAGGCTACAGCTGTAGCAGCCATCCCCACCTCCAGGGGATGCCTGAGAATGGAGCTGAGGCAGAGCCAAAATATGCCGGTGATCCTGAGGCCTGGATCCAGCCATACCCGAGGCATGCTCTAGTCTTTTCCATGAGATGAGCCCACAGTTTCTTTTGGCATGAGCCAGGCCCAGGCATTCTGTCTGTAGTTTGCAAGCCTAAGTGAGAGAAGCTCTCAAGAAGCCCCTGAAACCCCAATGAGGGCGCCACTCACCTCCAATAGCCAGATATCGAAAAAAGAGCCAGCCGCTGATGAGGGCCTCATGAGGGTTCCTTGGCAGCTTCTCCATGATGTCCAGGTCTGGTGGGTTAAAGCCCAGGGCTGTGGCAGGTAGCCCATCTGTCACCAGGTTCACCCAAAGCAGCTGCACAGGGATCAGGGCTTCCGGGAGGCCCAGAATTGCCGTGAGGAAGATGCTGGAACCAGAGTCACAGGCTCTAGTCCCCAGCAACTGGGGGGTTCAGCTCCTACTCACACCCAAGGCTGGGAAGCTCACCTACTGTCTGCACAGGAGCCCCATCTCACTTTGCCAGTTCTTATGTGTGCGCATGGCTCTGCCCCACACTGGGTCAGTCCTGTGCTCAATCTCAGCTCTGGAGCCTGGACAAATCTGCCCTTTAGGCCTCTCCTGCTTAGGCCACAACTCCTCTAGGGCATGTGCGCACATGGACAACGCGTGCCTGAGTACATACACATTTTTTTTTTTAACAGACAGGCCACACAATTTAGCACAGGCCACACAATTACACAAACATAAGCACCTACAATGCTTGTCCTCACATGCAGAGACTGCAGAATTCACATGTGTCCAGGCAAACCTGTGCTCACCATTCCCCACAGGCATCTCTCACATGTGAGCCTGAGTGTGTACAAATTATACACTGGCACAAATCCTCTGTGCTTGTACTTATGCCCAAAGATGCACAAGAGCACACATGCACATGTGTACACATACCTTTCATTTGAGTACACACACCATGCTCACACACAACTGTGTGCACACATTCACATACACATGTGAGCACAATTACTGCCCCAAAGTGGGGCTAGTTCTCCCATCTTGCCAACTCTAAATGTGGGAGTTATGGCTGAGGGATGATAGGGCACTTTTTAGGCCCCTCTTTGGGGGCTGGGGTTCACCGAGGCCTCTGGAGGAATGATGAGGTGCTCCTGCCCTTGCCCTCCTTGAGGTGAGACCCTAGGAGGCCCCCGCCAGGGCAGGACATGTGTCCCTCCACCCTTATAGCCCCATCCCAGGAAGAGGCATTTCCCTTAGTGACCTAGAGCTGGTCAAGAGGGCTGGGAAGAGGAAATCCAGGGCCTCACCAGACCACCTCGCCCACATTGGAGGAGATGAGGTAGCGGATGAACTGCTTCATGTTGTTGTAGATGGCACGTCCCTCCTCCACCGCGGCCACGATCGAGGCAAAGTTGTCATCTGACAGCACCATCTCGGCTGCTGACTTGGCCACAGCTGTGCCAGAGCCCATGGCAATGCCAATCTCTGCTTTCTTCAGAGCCGGGGCATCATTCACCCCGTCTCCGGTCTAGGGGCAAAGTTAGGTAGAATCATGCCTAAGAAACTTCACTTCTCCTTCCTTGACTCCCCTCAACTAAGTCTATCCCTAAGCTCAGGGGACATCCCCAAGGAAGCAGACAGCTGAACAGAGCAAATGGTGAGGTTGAAAATGAACTTAGAGATTGGGCTGGGGATGAGGTGGTTGCAGACCAGGACAATTTTGAAGAGAAGATCAATTTGAAGGTCCTCATCTTCTTGATGAGGTGGACTTGGGGAAGACGGTGGGTCACTGATGATGGTGGAGATGAAATTCAGGTTGGATGTGGTGTAGAAGACGAAATTGAGATTAGGGGCAAAATTAAGGTTAAGTCAGGGATGAGGTCAAGGTTGTGGCCCAGGAAAAGAACCAGGTAGGTGTTATAGCTAAAGGTTGGAGCCAAGGTGAAGGTCTGGGTCAACACTGGACTCAGGTAAAGGTCAAGTCAAAGTCAGAGGCCAAATCAAGGTTATGGTCCACATCAGGAATGATGTCACAGTCAAGGTTGGAGATGCAGTCAAGGTCAAGATTAGAGGCCATATAAAGTTGAGGTCTACAAAAAGTATTGGTTTTTAGGGGTCAAGGTCAATGTCAAGGATCAGGTCAGGGTGCAGGTCAAGACTGCAGCCCCTAACAAGGCTGAGCTCAAAGTAAAAATCAGATTAAGATGGTCAAGTTCAAGGTCAGGAACCAAGTCAACATGAAGGTCAAAAATAAAGTTAAGAACCAGATTACAACTGTAGTCAAGACTGGTGACCAGCTCAGTTATCAAGGTCAAGACTGGATCACAGGTTAGCATTAAAGTCAAGGTAAAGGACTGGAGGTGGAGGTCAACAGAGACCAGGTCAGGGGTGAGATTGGGGTCAAGAATCAGATCAGTGTTGAGAATAGGTCTGTAATCAAAGAATGAGACAAAAAAAAAAAAAAAAAGAAAAGAAAAGGAAAGAAAACTGGGCCCAAACAAAAGGTCTATCCAAAGGTGAATGGGTAAATAAACTGTGGTTATAGTCACATGGCAGAATGCTACTCAATGATTAAAAAAAACAATCATCTACTGATATCCAAACAACATGGATAAATTTCAAAAGAAAGAAGCCAGACACAAGAGTACGTACTGTATGATCCCATTCATATGAAAATCTAGGACAGGCAATCGATGGTGGAAAAATGGCCTGTTGTGAGAGAGGGGCCTGATGGGGAAGGTATGTGAGGGAACTTCATGGGTCCATAGTAATGTTCCTTATCTTGATAAGGGTTCGGATGACATGCAAAGGTGTGTCTGCACTTATCAAAACACATCAAATGAATGATATGCTTAAGACTTGTGCATTTCATTGCATGTAAGTTTTGCCTCAAAAAGGAAAAAAAGAGAACCACAAAGAAATGCTGCTCTCTAGAGTATGCATTCTAGATTATGTGAGGGTGAAGTGTACCAATGCCTGCAACTTCCTTTGAAATTTATTTAAGAAAAGATGGATTAAGGATGGATAGATGGATAGGTATTTGCAAAGCAAACAGAATATTACGTGTAGAATCTAGATCATAGATATTACAGGTGTTTACTATAAAACTATTTTAATTTCTTTCTGTTTGAGATTTTTTGTAACAAACTGTTGGAAAAAATAAGAATGAAGCAGAGGCAGAGGTGGTATGGGTTGCTCTTTCTAAGCTCTATGGCCAGTGTTCCCCTCACCCCTCCCCACCTCAACTCGGCTCCCATCTTGTGGCCTCACCATGGCGGTGATCTCATTAAAGGACTGTAGGTTCTCTACGATTCGGGACTTGTGTGCAGGTTCCACGCGGGCGAAACAGCATGCTGTGCGGCAGGCATGGCGCTGCTCCTCAGGGCTGAGGTCGTCAAATTCGCGACCTGTGTAGGCCTTCCCCACCACGTCCTCTGCGTCCCTGAAGATGCCAAGGCGGCGGCAGATGGCCACAGCTGTTCCTTTGTTGTCCCCTGTGATCATGACCACACGGATGCCGGCCTGGTGGCAGCGTGCGATGCAAGCAGCCACCTCAGGCCTTGGAGGGTCCAGCATGCCCACGCAGCCCACAAAAGTCAGGTCCATCTGTAGGGAGGGGGCAGATGCAAGTGGAGCCTGGGCCCATGCTCAACCTCCTACCTGCCCAGCCTTTGCAGGGAGACGCACAGCTCCCAGCCTTGGGGCTCTGCCCTGGCACCCACCTCGTACTGCACAAACTTGCTGCAGTCGTCCAGCTGCATGTCCTCCTTCCTTGGGGGTGCATCCCGAGTGGCCAGCGCCAGGCAGCGCAACATGTCTGAGCCTGAGCCCCAATCCCGAATCTTGGCCAGGATCTGCTCTCTGCACGTGGCAGTCAGGGGTACTGTGTGGCTTCCCACTCGGACTGAGCTGCAGCGCTCGATCACACTCTCAGGAGCCCCCTGTATCATGGGTGAGGGGAGAGGCAACTCTGTCAGTCAGGACCCCTTCCTTCCCCTCTTGCCCAACTGAGGAAGTTGAGGCCCAGAAATGGAAAATGCCATCCAAGGGGACACAAAGCAAGATATGGCCCAGATTCCATTCTTTGAAAGTTCAGAGTGAGAACCAAGGGGGCCTCACTGTGAGAAAACCCAAAAGGAATGGGGGGTTGTGGCTGCCCATTGGGTGGCACCCTCCCCCCTACCAACCCAAAGCTGGGAAGGTCTGCTGCAGCATTTGGGGAGGGGGGGATAGAACGGGCAGCCCTCCTACAGGTCCTGCCTCCCTGCCAATCTGGTGCAGCTGGGATCCCAATTCTGCAGGGGGCTCAGCAACAGGAGGCAAGCTGAGCCCTGCCTGGGGACCAGAAATAGAGCCATGCTGAGGGTGTGGCTCTGGGAAGGTGTTCTTGGGGGTGACATGTTTCTCAGTAGCCTTGGGGTCTCACCTGGGGTCTTGCCTCTATTCTCACCTTGGGAATAGCTTCTGAACCCTCCATCAACGCCTTCTCCCTCTCCCCAAAAGGCACTCCAAATGCTAAGTTTTCAAGGTGGCCCGAGATCCCAATACAGAAGCCTTTTCATTTCAAAAGGGGTTAAAACCTCCATTTCAGTGTGAAGTTAGGGCTGTCATTCCTACTTCAGGTTGAAAAGCAGTGACAGGCAGTGTGATGGGCAGAAGTCTGGATGGGAGACTTCCTTCCCTAGGACTCAGTTTCCAGAACATGAAGCACCAGAGATGGGCACCAACCACCGCAATACCCCCATCAGAGGTAAAAAAGGCTTTTGAGACCTTCCAGCTTGACCTTGCCATTCAGATGGGGAGACTGAGGCTCATGGAGGAGCATAGGTGACCCCAAGGTCATGTGACAAGGCAGTGCCTCTCAGCCCAGAGTTGGGGCCATGGTGAGCGGCAAGCCTTGGTGCCTGGCCCTGGCTTTATCTCCACCAAGGCTGGATCCTGCTCCCAGTTCCCCATGGAGGGCTGACCACCCTCATTCTAGATTCACTGCTTCGACAGTGGGCCTCACACCTCCCTCAGTCTCCCACAGTGGCAGTCACTAGCTCTTCAGAGGACTGAAGATCAGACCTCCCAGGGACTCCACATGTGCAGAAGCCCCAGGCCAATTAGGCAGGCCCCACCTTCACAAACATCTTGCTGCCCTGGGCTGCCAGGCCAGGGCTAGTAGGCGTGCAGTACACTGACATGGACTTCCGGTCTCGGGAGAACTCCAGGGTAAACTCCTTACGCATCAGCTGCTTGATGACCTATGGGGCTCAGAGGGGTCAGGATGTGAGGGGCAGAGCCAGAAACTCTCACTGCTTTCTTTCCAGCAGCTTGATCCCACAAAGAGCCTCTTGCTCCCTGTGGGATGATGTCTACCCTCCTCTGATCCTGACATGTGAAGCCCCCATCTCCCTCCCTCCCTCCCAAAAGGCTGCCACTTCCTGACCATGCTGTGCACTTCCCGACTCTGGGTCCTCGCCCACACTCAGTCTTTTCCTTTCTTTTCTCTGTAGCCAAGTCGTACCAGGGTCCGAGGTCCCTCCTCCTCCCAGAGGCCTCCCAAGACCTTGTCGTCCTCTCTTTCTTCTCTAGATGCCCAGACGCCCCAGCTACGAGGTCTGTGGCCAGAGCCCTCACTGTGCTTACCGCATTGCAGGCACTGGCTCGCTCCACCCGGGATAGGGCCTGTAGGTTGGTGTCAAACACATTCATCTTCTCCACCAAGCAAGTCAGAGCCGCCTCCGTGGCCTCTCCTACCTTCTCATACACGCCCTTAGCCTGGTGGGGCCCAGAGTACAGGGGGTGAAGAGCAGGGCAGCCTCCAGTGGACCCCCATCCTTACCTCCCACATCCTTACCTTACCTCCTGGCCCCTGGAGCTCCCTTTACCAGAGTTACCTTTGACCTCCTTTGCAGCAGACCAGTGGCGCCCTTCCCAGTCCAGCTGACATGAGGTCTGGATAGTGTCTGGCACTGAGGCTTCCCTTCCCTTCTGACACCCCCTCCGCCCCCCCCACCCCCTCCCGCCCCGGTCATCAGTGAACATGTATCCTCCCTGCTACCCACCTCACTCTCTGCAGGCCCCTTCTCAGCCTCCTTCTCCAGATTCCCCAGATTCCTCTTTCTAAACTCTGCTGTCCAGACCCTGCTCCTTCCCTCCCACCTTCTCTCCCTGAGGCCTCATACACCCCATTTCCCCCACCTTTCATGTGCTTGACTTCCAGGGCCCAGCCTGGCAGTGACATTTCCGCTGAGCTCCGAGCCCACATATCTAATTGCTGCCTGTTGGACTTGGTTCCTTAGTGACCCTCAGGCCACCTCCCCTTATCCCTATATTTGCCACTCCAGTGACAGTCCTAGCCAGGACAGCAACCAGGAGGTACCCTCCCTCTCTTTCACCTAGCCAGTCACCAAGTCCCACCCTAAATCTCCAACCCATGCTTTCTTCCCTTTCCCTGGAGCCCCAGCCAGCAACTCTCTGACCTGGGGGACCGCACAGGGGCTCCCTGAATCCACTCTTGCCCTGTCTGTGCCATCCTCCACACAAAAGCCTAGGTGATCTTTGGTAAATGCAGATCTGACCATATATATCACTCCTCTGCTCAAAACCCCTTGGTGGCTGTCTACTGCCTTCAGCTCATTATGGGACCTGACTTGATCTGGTCAAGTCCCTCCCTCAGGCAGGAGTATCTTCATGCATGTTCCATTCCACTGCTCCAGCAGCAGGTAAGGGCATTCAGTGCCTGCATCCCATCAGCTTGTTATGACCTGTGGGCCTTTTCTGGGCTGGGCCTTGCCTTCTACTGTAAACACCCTCCCTAGTCCTACTGCCCAAATCTCTTCCTCGACACCGTGGCACTACAGTCCCTTACATTACCGTCTTCCACAGCCCAAGAGCCCTGGGGCATAGTCTCAAAGCCAGTGTGAGAAAGCAGTGGCGGTGGGGGTCTGCAGGGGGGCAGTGTTCCTGGGGTGTGGCACTCCAAAGGAGCAGGGACTGCCAATCCTGGGAGTTTTGAGACTCTGGAGAAGGGTCACCTGGGTACTAGTGAGGTCACGAAAGAGCGCTGGGTCCCACCTCGTTGTAGTCCAGCGCCGAGTCGTTGCAGAGGGCACAGATCGTCGCCAGCTCCACCAACCCATCGAACTGCCCACAGTGCACAAGCTGCTCCTCCTGCCTCCTGTGGGGCCGGGCCTTCGTACCAGGGCATTTGGCCCCATCCCTGGGAGGTGCATGGCCTCCTGATCCCTCCCACAGAACTCAGAGCTGTCCAGTGTGGCTCAGCTCACCGCGGAACCCCGCCCACCACACCCCCTTGCCCAGCACTCACACTTCGCCCTCCGGGGCATAAGTGGTGCCTGAGACGGTGAACTCGTGCAGATGGCAGGAGCCTGCTTCGGCCTCGGCTACCACGAACATCTGGAGAGGACAGAGGCATGCTTAGGCAAGCCCTCACCTCTCTCCTCTTTGGGCAGCCAGTCTGAATAAAGCCTGACCCAAAGGTGGGATCCTCTGGGCCCCTGGAGTAGCTGCTGGCCTTCTCTCCTGCCAAGCTCTGGAAGGTGCAGTGTGAGAGTAGGGTTCTGGCTGTGGCAGGGCCTCTGCTCTGGACCCCCTGAGGGGTATAAGGCAGATTCCTCAATGTTCTGGATGGAGCCCTGACATGGGGCAGGAAGCCTGGGTCCGTGCCCATTTTGTTAATGCAGCTCCCGGCTGAGCACATGAGCATTAGTTTCTCCACTGGTAAGAGGAGAGGAGAGTGGGATCAGAGTACAGCTGCCCCTCTTTTCCTCTTGAAGGGATGGGTTCCTGGCCTCTAAGGGTGGAAACCCACACACTGCTCTGAGGCACAGACTCTCCTGCCCAAAGGTGTTCGCAGACAGTGAGCTCTTGCCTACAGGGCCTGCTGGGTCACCCGGCCCCTACCTATGCACCCCAGGGTCAGGGGGTTTACCCCTCCCAGGGCAGCCCATTTCCTTGCCTGTCAGCCAGCTTCACCCAGGAGATGGTTCTTGCTTTCCAGAAGTTGCCTTGCTGCACATTTCCAAGTCAATGACCAGCTCAGCACCCAGTAGGTGCTCAACAAATGTCCCTTTTTTGTGCTCCCCTCCCTACTCCTGAGGGCAGCCCTCCAGCCAGCATAGCTCTTGAGAAGTGAAGTTTCTCAGGCCCTCTTCCAGCAAGTAAGGCCTCTACAAATTCCCTATAGTGTGTTTTCCAAATCTTTATTACAGTTAAGGAACACTCTGTTCAAATGAAGTCCTACTAGAGATTTTAGAGGTCAGGGGCCACAGGATGTAAAGCTTGCTGGTGCCCCTACCCCTGTGGCAGCCTCTAATGGGCTTCAGGGTTTTGGATATAGAGCCTGAGTTTCCCAGTGGGCAAATTACAGGAGCAGAGGTGGGAGAAGGGTGATGGGGGGAATCTGGGAGGGGTGGGAAACCCACAGCCTTCACCATTACCCCACACACACCTCTGCCTCATGGGCCTGCTGGAGTTTCAGCCAGAATCCCTGGAGCATGCAGGCAGCAGGCCCAGGATCTGGGATTGAGTGCCAGGAAATGGGACAGTTCTTGACCCGGCCCTTCCCAGGTCACTGGAGCTGGCCTATCTGGTGATAGGCATTGGCTGTGGAGTCATGGTGGAGCAGGACAGAACCTGGTTGGGTCCAGGCCCAGCTTGGCTCAGATGCCAAGGCTCTACTTGACCCTCTGCTTTGTCCTTTATGGCTGTCTATCAAAGCTTGCATACCCAAATTTCAGCTGGAGAAACTGAGGTTCGTAGACAGGCAATGACCTGCCAGGGCCCTACAGTGACATCTGGGTCCTAGTGACACATGTCTAGCCAGACTTTGCTGCTCTGCCCCATGAAAGCCTGGAGCTGCTCCCCACCATGGGGCAGCCCACAGGTTCTGTCCTCCGTCCCTTGCCAGAAAGGAGTCAGGGGGCAGCCCGAGGAGGGAGCTCAGCCTGCTGAGCATCACACAGCAGCACCAGCAGGACCCCAAGCCGACTGCAGCTTCTCACCCGGCAGACAGACATCTGGTTGGTGGTGAGTGTGCCAGTCTTGTCGGAGCAGATGACTGAGGTGCAGCCCAGGGTCTCCACGGAGGGCAGGCTCCGCACAATGGCATTCTTGCGTGCCATGCGCCGTGTGCCCAGAGCCAGGCAGGTAGTGATAACAGCCGGGAGGCCCTCAGGGATGGCAGCCACGGCCAGGGCCACGGCAATCTTGAAGTAGTAGACAGCGCCATGGAGCCAGGAGCCGCCATGGGCCGGGTCAGCAAAGTGGCTGATGTTGATGACCCACACGGCCACACAGATCACAGAGATGGCTCGGGACAGCTGCCGCCCGAACTCATCCAGCTTGCGCTGCAGTGGCGTCCGCTCTGGCCCCACTGCCGCCATCTGGCTCCGGATCTTGCCCAGCTCCGTGTACAGGCCTGTGGCCACCGCCACACCCAGGGCCCTGCCCGATGCGATATTGGTGCCCTGGCCGGGGGAGAGATGAGAAGGGCTGCTTAGCATCCCGACGGGAGCCCAGGACCCCGACCCCTTCAGGCTAGGGCAACGTTCTTATCCCCTATTGGGCTTCCTTTGTCTCCATGTCGCTCAGTGCTCCCAGCCTTACGCAGCTATCCAGTACTGAGCTTTGTCGGTCGTCCCCATGACAGTGCTAACTCCGCCAAGGCCAGGCAGAACTCGCTGCAGCACCATATCCCCAGTGCCTGTCATGGGGCCTGGCACAGGAAGCACTGCACCAATACTGACAGTGTGATCACCTAGCACAGCACAATACCAACTTTGAAAAATGCGATTCATAAAAAGCCAATGTAGCCACACCGGAGTGCCAGGCTGACTGTGATCCTAGGTAAATATTTACTGAAGAATCCAGAGAACTTGAGTTTACGTCCATCCACTCCCAAGGCCCTGGTAAAATCCCTAAGTCCTGGTATAAAGGCTAGCTAGCCTGGAGCGTCTGTGTCCTCTTCTATAAAATCGTTTGACAAAGCTGCTGCTCTGAGGAGGCTAATAAGCTGGTATCCCCTCAGACAGGTGCCCTGTGCTGAGGCTGGAGGAAAGGTAGGTGCCACCGGCAATCTCAGCTTCTTTCGTCCGCCCCCCCCCCCATGCCCCCACCCTTTTGCAGGCCCTTCAGCTAAGGAAATGACCTGCTGTTAGCTGGAGCATCTCCCTTAGAAAGCTACCTCATGACAGCTACTGATGCTTGAGCATGCCCTGTACACCCCCCTCCCCACTTCAAAGCAGCTGGTCCAAGGCTTCCATGTATCTAGGCAGGGTGCTCCCCTTAAGAACTCTGGGCAAATATCGCTTTCTCCATTTCTGTTCACTTCCGGGGAGGTTTTCTAGCCTTATAACTTGGTGCCACGGGCCACGGCCAAATGGCCTGACCCATCCTCATGGCTCCCATGTTCAGCTTCAGGTGTTTCTGGGCAGCCTGTAAGTTATCAACGGTTAAGTCCCTTTGAGGCCACAGAGGCATATCATTCCCACCAGAGTTGAGCCCACCACTTGCCCTGAAAAGAGCCATTGGGCCCTGGCATCTTGCCTCAGGGGGTTGGTTTTCCCATCTGAGAAATGGACTGTTTCTGCCAGCCTCCACCACTTTGACAACCTTTATCTCTAGAGGAGTCTCCATTGAGTGATTATGGGCTAGCTCTATCCCTCTCCAGGTTAAAGCAGGATAAGCCTAGGAGGCAAGAGGGAAAGCTTTGGAGTCAGAATGTCTCAATTCACATCCCAGCACTACCATTCACTGGCTGTGTGACCTGGAAAATGCAAATAACAAGAGTACTTACTTTAAAAGCACCGCGAGGCTTAAATACATGTAAAGGGCTTAGAACAGTGCCAGGCACACAGCCTTCAGTAAACACAAGCTATTACCAGTACTATAAATGTGTACATATTGTCAATAATCGAGGAGGTTCTTTCTGGTAGGGCTTTAACTGATTAAATGTTAAAGTTTTTATTATCAGTGTCCAGACAAAGGCCCCAGCCATCCCAGGAACTTACGGAGAAGAGCATGTTCTTCTTGTCCTGGTTCACAGCTCTGGGATCCAGGATGGCATCAGTGTGCTTGGTCACAGACACGGATTCACCTGGTCACGGAATCAGAAATGAGAAGCCCCACATGAAGACACCCCCATCCTTGGACCTATCCCCTGCTCAGCCCTAGCCTCTGGGCCTCACCTGTCAGGATGGATTGGTCCACTCTCAGTGTGGTGGACTTGATCTCGATGAGGCGAAGGTCAGCGGGTACTTTGTCCCCCACTGTGGAGAGAGAGTGGCTGAGTGTGGCTTTTGGCACCACCCCTTGGCAGAGCCAGGAGGACGGCCAGGAGCCAAGGCTAGGGCTGAGAGGCAGGGGCCTGGGCTGTGATCCCCGAGATAGATGCTGCTCCCCCCTACAGTCTCCTGATCTGTCCAACAAGGTTTTGGCTGAAGAGCTTTGGAGGGATCCGAGAGCTACCTGCTGTGTATGAGCCAGAAAGATGAGGGCATAGACAGGGATCGGCTCACCAGCATCACATAATGAAAAGAGGCCCCCAATGTACCTGCCACCTCCACGATGTCTCCAGGGACGATGTCCCGGGCACGGACCCTCTGCACACCTTTGCGGTCTGAGCGGATCACCTTGCCCATCTCAGGCTCATACTCCTTCAAGGCCTCAATGGCGCTCTCAGCATTGCGTTCCTGTAGAACATGAGGCAGGTAGGTGGTCATCCCCACTGGCCCTTGCAGGCTGACCCCTTGTAATGACACCCCTGGGGCCTGGGATGGAGCTAGAAGCAGTAGGACCTCCAGGACTCTAACATCAAGTGGCGGTCACATGGAGCAGTTGGGAGACCCGAGGGCCCAGGCCCAGCTCTGTGCCTCCCACCTGCCATACGCCCACGACAGCATTGGCCACGAGGATCAGCATGATGACCAGGGGCTCCACGAAGGCTGTTGCTGTCTCTTCACCCTCCTCAAAGCAGGCCAGGACCTATGGAGTCAGAGCTGGTGAGTTGGGGCGATGCTATGGGCCACGGTCTGCTCACCATTTCCTTCATACCCTGGGTCTGCTGTCTCCTGCTTTAGGAGAGGTACCCCTGGGGAGCGCTGGGCTTGGAGAGGGCTGCTCTGAGACCTTGGCTCATCTGCAGGTAGTGACTACCGCCGTCCACGTCCCACCCAGCCAACTTCCAGGATGCGGGGCAGTTGTACAGCTAGAGGTCTCACTGTCTGCCTGGCTGTGGTTTTCCAAGTGTGATGCCAGACTGGCAACCACAGCATCACCTAGGACCTTGTTAGAAATGCAATTCTCAGGGTCTATCCTGGTGCTCCCGTGTCGGGAACTTTGGGGTGAGGCCCAGCAGTCTATGTGTTAACAAACCCAGGTGATCCCGTTACAGGCTTGAGCTTGAAGTCCATTGGCCAGAGAAGCATAATTCCAGCCAGAGCCCAGGCCTGGAGGCAGAATACCTGGTTAAAGTCCTGTTCCCACCTCTTGGCCCAGTTGGGTACTTGTCACTCCCTTCCACAGGTCTCAGTGGGTCCATTGGAACTGTGGAGGGGCACCGGCACCATTTGGGCTCAGCTGTTGTAAGGCCCCTGCACCGATAGGCTTTTTTTTTCTCTGTTAAGAGTCATCAGTTTCCACAAGAACAGGTGCCAGGAAGGCCAGACACAGCTGGCTGGGCCCCTGCTTCCCTGCACTCCATGTCACCAACCTGAGGTCTCCTCCCCAGGCCCTGCTGGGCACAGGGCCAAGAGCAGGAACTGTGTCCACCCTCAGGGTGGCCATGTTCCTGCATTACCCTTGGGTTTCTGCTGCTCAGCCATCAGTGAGAGCTACTGTCCCCCACCCCACGGCCCCATGCTGGCCCCGTGGCCCTGCAGGTCCAGGAGGCATTCAGGCAGTAAGAATGGGGGAGAGCAGCACAGACAAGCTGTAAGAGGTTAAGGCCCAAATTCTTCTGTGGGGCACTGGCAGCCATGGGAGCGGCTCTCCACGAGGGACAATTTGGCAACATCTGGAGACTTTTGATTATCATAACTGGGGGTACCGCTGGCATTAGTGGGTGGAGGTCACAGATGTTGCTAAATCTTCTCCAGCTCCTAGGACAGCCTCCATACAAATAATTATCAGGTCTAAAATGTCAATAGTGCTGTGGTTGAGAAACCTGGCCCTAAGGCAGGGAGGGGTGGGGATTAGACCTGTGCTTCTGAAAGCTCACTCTGACAGCCAGAGTGGAAGGGGACAGATGGGAGCCGGGAGTCCAGTGTGTAGGGGGCAGGCTTTGAGGTTTCAGGCAAGGGAAGCTGAAGTCTGAGCAAGGCAGGGGATGGGTAGAGGCCCGGGGATGTCCCCAGCTGAGAGGACAGACCTGTGGTTCAGAGTCTGGGCCTCTGAGCACTGGCCCAACCTGGCTCTCCCTTCCACGCTTTCTGATGCTGGGGGATGGGGGCCTTACTTACAAAGGAGACCAGGGCAGCCAACAGCAGGATGCGCACCAGGAGGTCCTCAAACTGCTCCAGCACCAGCTCCCACAGGGACTTCCCTGAGAACCGGAGCACCATGTGAAGCTTGGGTCCCTTACCGACTGACCTGCCCCCATTCAGAGCTGGAACCACCTCGGAGACCACCTGGCCCACTCCCTCCCTACCATTCAAAGGGTAAGAGCCTGAGGCCCTAGAGGCACAGGTGGGTGATACTGGGAGGCTCAGGCAAGCCTCACTCTGTTGGCGAGAGGGAAGGACACAACCTGAAAGTGAACAGTCCAAGGATGTCGCCTGGTGGCCTTGCAGCCCGCCCTGGCCCAAGCCTCACCTTCCTCATTTGGGAGCTCTGCAGGATCCAGGCAGCCACAGGAGCCATGAGGAGACAAGAGATAAATGAGTTATGCAGTGGGACTGTGGAGACGTCTCAGCAGTCCCTCCCAACTGTGCCTACCCAGGCCACCATGAAGGTCTAGACATGTCCCCACAGCTCTCTAAGGTCACAGAATGGATGGTCTGAGCCCAGAGGCTTCCACTCCTCCACTCACTTCACCCCACCCTGGTTAAGGAAGGTCTGGTATGGCCTGGCTCACCTTGGTTCAAGATCAGAGCCAGGAGGGCCCTTCTAGAACCCCCCTATCCCCCCACGTACAGAGGAGAAACAGAGTACACTAGAGAAGAGATGGGACCCCTGCGGTCACCAGGGAGTTGATAGCTCCCGGGCACTGCTCTTCCTCAGATGGCTGCACAATCCTATTCAATGTCCCCCACAGCCACGGCAAGGGTGGCCCTCCCTCAAATTGAGAGCATTGGCTCGGGCTCCCTCTGACATACCTGCTCCTCTGGGAGCACTGACATAAGGTCTGCAGCACGGCCAGCCAGCTGAGCCCCGCCCTACCTGGGGTTCCCTTGGACATGACCTCAGCAACCAGCGTCCCAGGCAGCATAACCTGCCATGGTTCAGTTCCTAGAGGTTGAGTCTCAACTTGTTCCCTCCCAAACCCTCTACTCAGGGCAAGACCCATCCCACAAGCCCAGTCTGCGACCCACAGAACATTTTGAGGAATGATGCTCCCAAACACCACCAGGACCTGCTGTCACTTTACAACCTCTATTTTTATCTCCTACATTTCCTGAAGCACCTTTTATTCCAGGCAGAGCTGGTTGCCTCGGTACCTGAAGTCTTTGAATCTTCTCAACAGCCTAAGGGGTGACAGGGCAGGAATGCTCACCCTGTTTCACAGGTGCAAGAACTGAGATCCAGAGTGGAAAAGTGACTTGAACAAGGTCACGCAGCAAGTAGGCAGGTCTATGGGAAGGGGCAGGAGCTGGGCCTCAAAGGGTGGATTCCAATGGGCCTCTCTCTCCATAGGCTGAGCTTAGGCCCTGCTGAGGCCTGTCTGGGGCTCCTCCCCAACTGAGCCTACCTGAGCCCTGCTACTGAGTCCAGTCTCCAGGCCAGCAACATTGGCATCACCTGGGAGCTTGTCAGCAATGCAGACTCTGAGCCTCTATCCTAGGCTGGCTCTCTCTTCCTCTTCCTCCTTCTTGACACAGGTCCTTGTAACTGTCCACCTGTTTTTAGCTCAAGTATCTGCAAACATTTTTCCTGTGGGAGCCCTCTCCCCAGACCACCTGTTTGGAAGATCTGGGGCACCTGGCAGCTGAACCATGGAGAGTATCAAGGAGCCCACTGGACTGCAGGAATCCAGGAGGGAAACATATAACCTAAAAATACATTTTCTAGCATTTTTCTCCCTAGTCCTATTTTAGGCAACAGCTGACATTTTCCGTGGAAAATGTAATCTCCAGTGTCCTGCATTGAGATTAAAATCAAACAGACTTTTTCCTTCTGATCTATTTAGCTGAAGTGAACAGGAAAGGCAGGGGGAGGGCCAGGCCTGGTTTTCTAGCCAATTCTCCAATGGAGCAGGGTCCTTTAGAGGTCATCGAGAATAGTTCCAACCTCATGGCACACATCAGTCTGCTTCTGCCATGCTCTACCCAGGAAAGACTTCTAAAGCCCCTATGTCTATGAAGGTCTTCAGGGTTCCTGACCAAAAGAAGAGTTCATCCATAAGGCTCACCTGAATCCCTCCTGCTGTCTCCCCCACCCCTCCCCTCTGTCAGGCATGTAGCCCCTAGGCCACTGTATGAGGCCATTTTTTTTCTGGGCAGGGTCAAGACCTGGGGTTGGGAAGCATGTCATGTCACAGGGCACATAGCAGCTCGAGTTCCCCACAAGCTGCCCTCTGCCTGTCTCGGTGGTCTCTCAAGTTCTCCCCTTCTGCATTCTGACTCAAAATCTGACTCAGGATCCACTCTTTGGTGGTCATTCGTTCCCCAGATACTTCTGATTCTTCCCACCTCGTGGGCACATAGTAGGACCGCATTTCCTGGCCCTTGTGCAAGTTACAAAAAGAAGGATGCATGTTAGTTCTGGGCAGGGGCACCAACGTGGTGGCAGGAGACTCTCAACTTAGAAGGGCATTGTCCACTAGAACTTTCTGTGGTGATGGAAGTGCCCTCCAGCTACCCCATACAGCAGCTACCAACTGCACGCAGCTATCAAGCACTGGAAATGTGGCTACTGTGACTGAGGAGCTAAATTTAAATTTTACTTAATTTTCATTCATTTAAATTTAAATAACTAGACAAGGCTAGTGGCTGCGTATTGGACAGTGCAGATCTAGAGCTCTTTGTCCCTCTGGCACAGTAACCAGCAACCTGTGAGATGGTGTCTGCTCTGTGAACCAGAATCACAGAGTACAGGAGACACAGAACCCCCAGATGACCTGCCACTGACATAGTTATACAGTGTGAGCAAGAAATGACCTGTATTGTCTTAAGCCATTGAGATATGGGGTTACTGCAGCATAACCTAGCCGATCCTGGGTGGAACCCCCCTCTCCCTGGACCTAGCCTCTACTACAAGGTTCCCCTTTTACCCTTACCCACTCCCCTGGGGAAGGCTCAGCCCACCATGAGCTCTCAGGAGATGCCCTGCCTCTCCCTGTACATGCAATGCACATGCTTCTAGTCTTGCCTGAGCAGCTGGTTCCCTGTGGGGTCCTGAGCCTCATTTGGAAGATGGGGTACCCAGCCCCACCCCAAAGGGCTGCTGTGAGGATTATCATCATTATTAATAAGAACCACATTTACTGAGCACTTACTATGTCCCAAGAGCTTTACCTACACTATCTCCAGAGATGAATGGGGAGGTATTGTATGCAAAGCATATAAGATGTTACCCTGCAGCTAGAGTAACTATAGCAGAGTTATTAGTGTTGAGTGTGCCAGATGCCATGCACCTTCTAGTGCATTAACTCTCTTGTGATTCTCAAATAACCTGAGAAGGAAGGTACAATTATTATTCCCATTTTGCAGAGTAGACAACTGAAGCACAGAGAGGTTGAGTGACTAGTTTATGGTCATACAGCTGGGAAGTGGCAGCTTTGAACTCAGGTGGTCTGGCTTTTGGCCCCCTGCTTGGCCCCTCCTGCATTAACTCCTAAGCTGCTCTGGCTTCCCACCCTGTCCCGCTGCCTTCCCTGGCCAAAGTCACCTGAGAGAACTTGGCATCCTACGTTCTGATTGTTAGGCTGGATGCCCTCATCCCACTGACAAGCTCACCCCTTCATTGTGACCCCAGGCCACTAGCCAAAATCATCCCTGCCCAAAAAGGCTCTGCTGTCCTCACAGGTGGTTTCTGTGAGGGTTTTTTGGGCATTACTAGGCTCTGTCTGCTCAGGCCTGGTCTTCTTCAAACTTCAATCCTGTCAAGACCCCAGACAACCCAATTTTCCCTTCACATGACTGGGTCTCAGGGCCATGGAGGAACTAGGAGGGGCTAGCAGACTAGCAGCAGCTAGGAGAGCACCCTCCCAGCCTCTCCCCAGGCGTCCCTGTTAGATGCTGTTTCCCCCTTGCTATCCTCAGGCTGTGTGTGTGTGGGGGGGTGTTGAGCCCTCAGCAGTGCCAGATGCCCCATCTGTTAAATGGGGAGAATGGCCCAGCCCTGCCCGCCTCTTGGTGCCATTCGCCAGGCTGTGCAGGCAAAGACAGTACTAGGAAGCACCCCCCACCCCCCCACATCCCTGCTGGGCCAGCCTGGTGGGAAGTAGCCCCCCACTATTCTTCTGAAATAGTGTACCTCTGGACCTCTCACATGGTGGACTCTGCCAGACAACCCTGCTCTGAGTCACTGATGCCAGACTGAGCTGGCCCACACCCCCAGATGCCCAACGTGGGGCTGGCCTAGAGGGGTCTGGAGTTAGTCTGTGGGTCCGGTGGGGGGGGCAAAGAGGAGTATATGATCAGAGAAGCTTCATGGTTTAGGGCAAGCAACCTGGCCCGGAGGGCTAAGTTCATGTCTTGCTCTATCTCTTTATAGTTCTCTGACTATGGACAAGTCACTTAACCCCCTCTGTGCCTCAGTTTCCCCATCTGCAAAACAAGGATAATAATAGTAACTCCTCTTAAGTCATTGTGAAGATTAACTGACATGCTATTCATAAGGTGCTTAGAACATGCACAGCACATGGTAAATACTCAATAAACATTAGCTATAATATTAGTTATTAAAATGTAAGCTCCTTGCCAGTAGGACTCTGTTAAGTGCAGTGTCTCCAGCACCTGGAGCAGTGCCTGGCACACAGTAGGTGCTCAATAAAGATTTGTGAGCAAATGAATGACCTTGCCTCATGGACCATGAGTGGCTCTTCTTGGCCTGCAGAATAAAGATCAACCTTAGCATGGCCTTCAGGGCCTTCCTGGATCTGCCTCAACCTGGCCCTCAAGAATCATCCTATACCTTAGGCATACGTCCATCTGCCAGCCAAGTGAGATGTCTCAGAACTGCCACCACCTTCCCTGGTTTTGCTAGAGCTTTTTCCCCTCCAAGATTTTGCTGGGGCCATTCCCTCTGTGCAGAGTACCCTTCCCTAAGTCCTCATCCAAACCCCAGCCTTTCAGGAAGGCTTCCTGGGAAAGCCCCTCCCCCTCTCCCCCTGCTTTTCTTTACCAATCATCAGTACTGGGGCCTCCACACCTGACTGGGACGCTTCCAGGGTGGGGAGGCGCTGAGTCATCCCTGGGCCCACAAAGAGCCTCACAGAATTGTTTACTCAGTTGCCCCACGGTTCAGGTAAAGGCTCTGGGCCCGGAGCCTGGAGCCCAGGAGAAGTGGGGTGCAGGGTCAACACTGCCCCAGGCTCCATGTACCACCTGCTCCCCTTATCTACCCTCTTGACTCCTTTCTTCTCATCTCAAAACATTGGAAACTGGTATTTCAACTTCTAAATGTTGGTTCCAGCCTGGAGAGGCAAGAGCTCACTGCGGTCTTCCTCG